CCCCCTGCTGCCCATAGCCAAAGATGGCTAATAACCTCTACGGACAAGCCAAGAGGATGGGAACAGTGAACAGTGCTTTTCTCCAGCATTGGCAGGTGCTTGGATCTGTGTGTGTAGGAGGAATCCCACTTGCACCCCCTGAAGAAGACCTCTGTCATTTTTACCAGGATACAGCACACATTTCTAACGATGAACATTTGTGACTACCTACTTAGAAGCAAGGGAAGCTGCCAAAAGCAACAGCTGAGTAGTTCCTGGGAGGCTGCCTTGTTGCCAGCCATGTGGCAACAGGAAGGCAGAGGTGGGCAAACCCACAGCATGGAGCAAAGCTCCCAAGTGCTCCATTCCTGAAGGTGCTGGTACAGGCAGACTATTTCCAGGAAGAGCAGCACAGCAGATCCTGGTGTAAGGGGCAGGCTATCCTGATGGCTGGCCACCAAACCCACCAGCCACCTGGCAGCACAGGATACTCAACAATGTGGGTTATGGAGAAGGGAGTAACTGTCTATGTTGAGCCTTAAACAGCATAAGGTCAGGAAATGGAGATGTTGGCAGTGCAGAACCGTAAACTGCATTAAGAGAGGCTTGTAAACATTAAAGGTTGGAAACCCAAGAACTGTATGCACAAGCAGCCTCAGCACCTAGCCCACAGGGAAAAGCGTATCCTTACCTTGGGCACTAACACAGCCTGCCCTCACTACCAAGAGACAAATAAGCCTGACAACACTGCACAATTAGGAAAATGAACCCTTAATATGCTGGTTTGCTCCACAACTTTAGCTAGACTTTCTGCTTATCTCCAGTCATTCAGCCCAATTCTTGAGTTCCCTATTGATTTATGTGCATTGAAACCTTTTAAGGCATTTTTATTTAAATCAGATTGAGGGGTTTCTTGAATTGATGAAGATAAAACCTATCCTCAAATAATTAAGAATCTCTGCTACACTTACTCTGGAAATTATGAAGGAGAAATGTAGATTCGCTTCAATCCCTGGGGTGCCAAATTGAGGAATCATTTTGGTAGTGCTCAAGCAGCCTGACCACAAGGAGTACTCTGGTGATATAAGGTCATGTGAACCAAAGAGGTCCAACATGTGGCCTTTTGAGGAGTCACCACATCAGATCAGTGCCTACCAAATAGGAAAACTGCAGTGAAAGCCAAAAGAACTACAACATCACTCCTTCAAAACTTCACATTTCCTGCTGGAAGCAGCAATATCAGCATCCAGATACTCAGGATGCTGACTATCAACTGTGATCAGCCAGACAAGCTGCCCACTATGGGAATGTATTTTGTATCAGAAGGAATCCCCAAGTCTGCAGTCTTCACTCCCTTTTTCATATATAAAAATATAGATGCATTAGTAGCTGCAGTGACAGGACAAGAGGCAGCAGGTACAAACTGAAAAAGGACAAATTTAGGTTAGATATTAGGAAATGATTTTTACTGTGAGGGTGGTGAGACACTGGCACAGGTTGCCCAGGGAGGCAGTGGATGCCCCATCCCTGGGGGTGTTCAAAGCCAGGTTGGAAACAAGGAACAAGAAACAAGATACAAGTCTAGTTCTATCCAGCGACATTTGGATGCAACAGGTTTCTGACTGATGATCATACAAACCACAAACCACTGCTGCACATTCTGTGAGTTGTGACACAAATACAGGGAAATTTAAGTACCCAAATAGTACAGAAATAACACTTAAGTTATGATTTATTCAGTGAAAGAAGAAACCCCAGCACCCTGGGCTGTATCACAGCACCTCTTTGGCTTACACTTTGTACTGGCTACACAGCTGCTGTTTTTCAAGCTGCACAGGTTCACATTTTATTCTCATATTTTTAATTAAAAATCCAGCTAGAGAGCACATAAATTCTGAAAAAACAATTCGAAATTTTTGCAAACTCATAATCCTCTTCTGGTGCAGTCCAAACTTACCATAAAAAGCCAAAGCATTTAAGGAGCAAGTTAAGAAGAGGCAAATGTCTTCCACAAAAGCGCAATGTTCCATTTCAGAAGAGAACTCAGAACACAATTTCTATGTGCTCTAAATTTTCACTCAAATACAAATGCAATGTAATAGACAATCTATCCTGCCCAGAGAAGCTGTAGATGTCCCATCTCCCAGTATTCAAGGCCAGGTTAGATGGGGCTCTGAGAAACCTGGTCTAGTAGAAAAAGTGTCACTACCCATGGTGAGTGGGCTGGAAATAGATGATTTTTAAGATCCCTTCCAACCCAAACCATTCCATGAGTCTATGATTCATACAAAAGATCTAACAAGAGCTTATACAAGTTTCTGATCATCTGATCATCCCACAGAGTATGTGTGTGTGAGGCTAGAGAATAGCACTGGGAAAAAAAAGACAAGTATAGTGAAAACAAGTTTCCTGATAAATGAAATCTCTTTTTGGAGCAAACAGGAATGC